TGTGTGTGTGTGTGTGTGTGTGTGTGTGCACATTCAATTGTCCGTCTGCGCAGCGTGACTCTGTTCAGATCACTTGCTCATTGGCCTACCGTTTGGGCGAGCACCGTCTTTCCTGGCGGCTGCGTGGCACTTCCACTGCCGCCTGTCATAGACGAGCCGGGGATAAGTAGTTCGAGCCTCGAGGAGATAGTCTCTGACAGGAATCACGGAGCGAGAACTGAACACGCTGCTCGGCCAAAGGGCAATCTGATCCGTTCGGGGGTCAACCTGAGCTGCTTTCTCGGGGGCAGCGGGGGGGCTTCTCTCCGCACGCACGCCCGTCTTTTTCTTTTGCCTTTTTTTTTTTTTTTTTCACTTTGATTAGCAGGCCACGGTCTGGAGACTCTGCATCACGGCGCAGTGCATCCACTGCCGGCTTCGTGGTGTCTGTTTGTGCTCTTTGTCGCAGCAGTTTGAGAGCTTCTTCCGAAGTCCACGTGTCGCTTGTTCATCGGCCCGGCTACCAGTGCGTCGTCCGCTCTGCAGTGGTGAATACACTGAATAGTTATCCTTTAAGAAAGTTATAAAACCCATCCTTGACCTTCACCGTCCTTTCAGTCCTCTGGCAACGAGTTATGGAGCCGCGTGTCTCGATCTCGATTGCGATGCTGACGGTGATGATAGTAATGATGAGATGATAACCATGCCGTTACGGGTTATAGCGGTAGTCGGAGCAGAAGGGAGGAGGAGCTTCGAAGCGCAGAGAGGAGGGGAGTCCGTTGCGCGGACGGAGAGTGCGTGTGATGACATTGGCGATATGCAAGTAGAGAGGGAGCTGCAGGCAGACTCTTTGAGTGTTTTCAACATCTGGAACATGTTCAACACGACTCTTCTTCGGCCTCCCCGCGTGGTTTTGACCGCTAGTACAAATTTCTACGGTAATTCATCCGGTGACGTTGAGTGTTCTCAACATATCACGAACATGGTATTTACCTCCCAGACGGGGGTGTTCTTCTACTCGCAGTCGGATTACTGCGAGAATGCTTCTGCCCGAAGGTCGGTCAGTTCAGGTCACTCTTTGCACAAGTGTGATATGCGAGGTCTTGGCAGCTCTGGGACCGCAGAGGCCAGCTGCTCCCTGCTCACTCTTCAGTGGATGTCGTATAACCCGAACGGCACATCGGTAAGGCAGCCCTACAACTCCACATTCCGGTCTGATATTCAATTTACGGCGCTCGATCTGTCGCGGAGCGAGCGGTATCTCGTTCTGCCATTTGCGAATGGCTTTTCGGGCGCAGGTCTGGCATTCATCGACACGACGGTAGGTTCCAGAACCACCTATAACGTCTCCGACTTGTTCTATTATAGCGGTGCATTCAATCCTAACCGCACTATTTTCTACCTGGCAAAAGATGACTGCCTTCAGTACTCCGTCATGGATGGCGAGTCGCCAGAAACCTTTGTCAGCGATTTCCAAACAAGAGCATGCCCTACTAGCATTCCGGAAACCCTCTTGTTCAGTCATCGAAGCTTTCTCCAAGATGGGAGCTACCTATACGCTGTGGCTAATACTACATTTGTAGGCTTTGACCTAACCAGTGGAGTGGTGGCTCCTCTAACTGGGACCCCACTAGGAAGTTGTCTTGTGCTGACACAAGAAGGATGCAACTTTTTCTTCGTCGCAGATAATTAGGATGATTGGTCGAGCATCATGCGGGGGGCTTTTGATAAACCGGGCGGAAAGGTGGTTACGGTGGAGGTGGTGGCCAGTTGGGTCTTCAGAAATCACTCTATCTGGATGCTTGCTCCGGATAACGACGACAGCCATTTGTACGTGTCGACCCTCACAGGCAAGCTGTTCCAATTTCCAATCAACAAGCTGGCGCTAGGGCAATGCAGCGGGGCATTCCCGACACCAGCCGCACAGACCGGGGTTACTTCAGCCTATCCATCTTCATCGCCAGCGCCATCATCATCATCATCATCATCATCACCATCACCACCACCACCACCACCATCGCCAGGGCAATCAGCTGATGCATCTCAGGCCACGGGGTCATCGTCTTCACCAGGACATGATGGGAGTAGTACACGTGGCAGCAGTCGGTTGGTCGACACGCTCTCAACGTCCTGTCTCTTATACACATCTAGATGTGTATATTTTTTTTGGATAGGTGTGCCTTTGGCCCCAACTACATATCTCTCTCTCTCTCTCTCTCCCCCCTTTGCCCCCTACCGTTCGCAGGACCTGGTGTCACGCGTTCCCGACGGGAAGCCCCTACAGGAGAATGAAGCACACGGAGTCGGCGGGCCGTTGCCATCACGTCCGCGGCTTTGTCGTCTCTCTCTCTCTCTCGCTCTCTCTCTCTCTCTCTCTCTCTCTCTCTCTCTCTCTCTCTCTCTCTCTCTCTCTCTCTCCTTTGCAGGACCTGTCTCACAGACTCGGCGGGCCGTTGCCATCATGGAGTAGGGGGGGGGCTTTTGCCACCACGTCCGCGGCTTCGTCGGGACTCTCTCTCTCTCTCTCTCTCTCTCTCTCTCTCTCTCTCTCTCTCTCTCTCTCTCTCTCTCTCCCCCCTCTCCCCCCCTACCGTTCGCAGGACGTGGTGTCCCACTTACCCGACGCCGGGCTGACGGAAAGTTCGTTTCGGAATGAACCACACGGAGTCGGCAGGCCGTTGCCATCACGGTCACGGCTTCGTCGTCTCTCTCTCTCTCTCTCTCTCTCTCTCTCTCTCTCTCTCTCTCTCTCTCTCTCTCTCTCGTGCGTGCGCACGCGGAGTCCATGGCGGCGATGATGGCGCCGGCAGAAGCACACCCGGTGACCCATGGTGCCACTACGCTATTCGTTCTTCCACAAAGCGACAGGGGGTTGGGGATGGTGGACGGATGCGCGCGCGCGGACGAGAGAGAGAGAGAGAGAGAGAGAGAGAGAGAGAGAGAGAGAGAGAGAGAGAGAGAGAGAGAGAGAGAGAGAGAGAGAGAGAGGTGGATACTTGGCGTTATGGATTCCGTGTGTGTGAGACAGTGGCATGGCGGGAAACACTTACCGTGTTCGCGGCAGCCGTTGTGCTTGCGAACTCCAACCCGGCGTCCACTGGATTGCAGCCCGCCGTTGTGCTTGCGAACTCCAACCCGGCGTCCACTGGATTGCAGCCCGGGCCCCTTTGGCAACGGTAAGACAAAAAAAAGAGAGAAAACTACGGCGCAGTCAGGGTTTGAGTTTGTAATTGCACTTGAGGCAAAAGGGAAGGTAATGCTGAATGTATATGACCTACGTTTCCGGTCCGGTGGGGGCGCGTGGGGGTGTGTTGTATTTGCGGGATTGCCCGAAGTGCAATTACAAACTGTTTTCGTGACTGCGCCGAAGTTACCCCCAAAAAAAAGCACTCCACTGCCAAAAGTACCGGTTCCCACAGCACTCACGGCCTGGACCGTACCGGCCTACGTGGCATGACTGAAGTGCTGAGGAAACTGCTTTTTGTGCCCTGTGCGGCGGCCCGAGTTTCAACTGACTGTTGAAGTCGGGCCGTGACTGAAGTGCGAAACGGGTGTTTCGAATGGATATTTGAACTGTTATCGTGACAGCGCCCTAGTTACCCCTCGATTAAAATACTTGTTTTTTGGTTTTCTATTTAAAAAAAATGAAAAACCACTTCATAATCCAAAAGAAAAAATGTAGGGTTGTAGGTATCTTCAAACCCTACAAGCCCCTATATATATATTTGTTTTTGGTCCATTAGTTCTTTTAAAAAAGATATATGAAATTCTCGGCCGCACCCAACAGCAGGGGCCATGGCCTGTGGTCGGGATCCTGGCCGCACGCCAAGTTTGACCTGACCGCGGGGTATTCATAGGTGTTTGGGATTCATCACTGGACTTCTGTTTTCAACTACCATCCTCCCTCGTCTTTTGTCTATGTGCCTGGTTGCACTACTGGCCATCTGCCAAGTTTGGCGAGTAGGTGCTTGGTTGCACTTACTCGCCAATCGTGGCGAATGAAAACTGTGTCATTCTGCTCGCCACACGGTTGACACAAGTTCTGGAGAGTGTTTTGGGTTTCCCAGCCTGTCAACGGCGGTTTGTGGAGGGGATGTCCTTTCAACCTCTCCGCAAAACAACTTCTTGGAGAGTGCACGAGCGGAGATCAGACAGACACATTTTTTAACTTTTCTGTACAAGAAATATAGCGGAGAGTAAGTGCAAACAGGCCTCCCAGGTAGACACAATTCTCTTTTTTTTTGCTCTTTTTTTGCTCTCGACCATCCGCCAGGAATTGTGGAGGATGGCAAGTAGTGCAACTAGGCCCTATACCTTTCACTGTCTTCTTCCTCATCATATATAGTCGTATCATTGCTCTGGGTCCGGAATGCTTTATGTGTGATCTAACGGCTCAGCTGTGTCTTAGTTCCCGTTGTTACCTTGGATGACCGTGTAAAGTGTGCTGTCGCAATACCGACAACTTCACGAGAAAATAGAAAACTGAAAGGAAAAAGGCTCACTGCTAAAAAAGAATGCGTCGTGCGGCATGCAACCGCTCCCGCGTACGGCAGAGTTGTTTTTGTTATTTTTCTTAAATTAGTTCATCTTCGTACGTGTTGCTGAGTAGACGGGAGATCAATCCAAAATGAATTAAACAAGAAACACTCTGTCGGTTCGATAGATCGAGGATGGCACTTCAAGGGCGTCGCTCATCGTTTCAAGTGAAACAAGAACAAAGGATTGGGGTTGTCGATTATTCGTGTCATCCTTGCGCAGGAGTCATGCTAATCTTCTGGGTAAAAATAAATAAATAAATAAATAAATAAATAAATAAATAAATAAATAGAGAAATAAACAAATAATTCATGTGTGTATCGTTCTTGTTTTAGCGGATGTCTGGAAGCCTTGGGACAAAAGATTGGGTTTCACCGACGGGTCACCCATGTACTGCTGAAATGCAGACCCAAGTTCGAAACCCGTTGAATGACATACAACAATTCTGTCGATGATGACATCTCAACGCTGTCGCCCTCTCAATTAAAGAAAAAAGAAGAAAAAACGATTGGGGTTTCCCAGCCAGAGGCGCTCGACCCTTGGACCTCTCCTCAAGCCGCTAAAATCTGATGCTAGCCAGTACCCACTTCTAATTATGAGCGTCCTGTCAGGACTTGATGGGCGGCCTCACGCTGTAGCAGCGAGCAGGAGGCAGAAGTGGATCCGAGGGAGAGAGACTGCACTCAGAGTCCCACCTGTCTCACTCGCATTACGAGCGCCGTAGGCGCCCACTCCGTGTCACGTCCTCTAATCTCCGCTGCCAGATTACTCTGCTGTTATCTTCTTTCGCCTACCACTACCATCTTCTCGTGTCTTTCTCTTCCTGCATCTCTTACCAGGATTGAAGTCATTCCTCTCTCTCTCTCTCTCTCTCTCTCTCTCTCTCTCTCTCTCTCTCTCTCTCTCTCTCTCTCTCTC